TGACCCCTACCCCCCGGGAGGCCTCAGGTGCCGAGGGCCCTGATAAGGCCCGGGGGGGCGAGAAGGGGCGCAAACGCCCCAAGCAGGCACAGAAGCCCCCTCCTGCAGGTGCCGAGGGCCCTGACACAGGGGGGGGACAGGCCAGGTGGCGGCCATCCTCGGCGGAACAAGGATGGGGACGGCAGAACCAGCGTGCACAACGCCCTCGCCGTGATCAGAACAGCCACACAACCGGCACAACGGCGGCGCCTCAGTCCCGAGCCACAGGTGCCGAGGGCCCTGATATGGCGGGGACGGGACGGTTCCCCGCAGGTGCCGAGGGCCCTGACACGGGGGGCCGCACCCAGAAGGCCCGAGTGCCGGATGACTGGCAGCACACCGCAACGCCAAGGGACACTCCCAGGAAGCAGCCGATCCCACTTCCGGCGCCCAACATCATCAAGCAGGACCCGGTGGTTTTCCACAAGAGCTCGGTGGGGCTGAATGAAGGGGGCCAACGCCTTTCAGCTACCCCCCTGACAAGTCCAACGGAGCCGTCACCGGGATTGGACATCTTCCCGTGGATGGAGAACATCCCTGAGCGTCTGGTACAGCGGCTGAGATGGACACAGGGCACATCGCCCAAAGTTCCATCCAGTGGGCCCATCATTGTCCTGCTCTATGCAGGCAAGGAAGACCCAACTTCCTTGGACAGCTGTCTTCATGCCAACTACCCACACCTTTCCAGCATGGTGGTGGCGGTAGACATCCTACGGTCTGGACCAAAAGGGGACCACGATATGCTCCAACCCGAGCTGTATGGAGCTCTTTGCACGGCAGCAAAGCAGGGCCGAGTGGTCTTCATTGGAGGAGGACCCAACTGCAGGACATGGTCCATCCTGCGCCACATACCAAAACCGGGGGCTCCCACCCCGGTGCGAGGGCGCACTCCAGAGACACTTTGGGGCCTTCCACACCTGGACCAGGCCGCCCAGACTCAACTTGATGATGACAGCATCCTCATTCTGAGACAGATGTACATCACCAGCCTGGCAAGGGCCTCACGAGCGGCGGTTTCTCTGCCAGGGCCCAGGTCCTTCCTGGAACACCCGGAGGACCCAGTGGTGAGCAGCTCGCTGCCCAAAGCCAAGGAATGCTCATCCTTCTGGATCACAGAGGAGGGGCAGCTTTGGATGGAGGAGAACTCCTTGACAGCAATCTCCTTCGACCAGTGCCGCCTGGGCCAGCTGGTCAAGAAGGCCACTACGCTGGCCACGGATCTCCCGATCCAGGACTGGGATCAAATGCGGTGCACGCATCAGTCACATGTGGGCACCAACGAGTCCTCGACTCTTAGCAGATACCCTTGGGATATGATGGCAGGCCTGGCCAAAGCCATCGCTGTGTCACTCGCAGCGCCGGGGCACATCCGGATCCCCTCACAATTTCCGGGAAACCCCAAGGAACCACCTAAGGGGCGGGGGTCGGACCCCCCGGAAGGCCATTCCCCCCGGGGAAAACGGGGGCCCAGTCAAGGAGGCGGTCCCTCCTCATCACACCAGGGCTCAAAGCCCGGAGGCAAGAACGCCCCGAAGCCCCGCCTGCACGGGCAGTTCCACCCTGAGGCAGACACCGTAAGCCCTCGTGGAACAATGAACCCAGACTTCCCATCTCCCATGCCCCCGATGGCCGGAGATGCGGAACAACTGGGGAAGGAGGGACAGGGGGACCAGGTCCTGGACCGCCCCGAATGCCTGCCCGCTTTCAGGGTCCCACACCTCACTGACCGGGTGGCGTCCAATTGTCCAATTGGCTCAACCCCCCTTTTCGGAGAATTTCCCCATTGGCTACTTTGGGCGCCCTGATCATGACCCTTACCCGGCCCTGGATTGACAAGGTCCGAATGTCCCTGGCATCAGGTGCCACCACACACCCCTTCCAGGAAGCCGACCTCGAGGAGCTGCGGGCTATCCTAGGACCGAGGCACCTCCATGAACGATGCCCAGGACAACCCTTCCTCCTGGACTTAGTGTCGCACTTGGCATCCCTTTCAGGTGACCCTGATTGGGAGTTCCCCCTAACACTGAAAGAGGGGGTCCCCTTGGGAGTCTCGGACCCTACCTTGACCTCCCCGGGAGTTTGGCCCACTAAGGAGGAGCTTAAGGGAGAAGCCTGGCTGGGGGAAGATCCCCCCCCGCCAGTGGCTCATGATAACTACCCAACGGCTGAACTCTTTGCCAAGGAAATCGAATCAACCTTTTACGAGGAACGAGCCTTGGACATGGTGGACGGGCCCTTCACTCGCTCCGAGGCGGCAGAGAGGTGCCGCTGCAAACCGGAGGAACTTTGCCCGGGCCCCCTTGCAGGGATTGATGAGTCGGACAAGATCAGGACGATCTATGATGGCTCAAAAGGGGGAGCAAACGCACACATCCAGGCTCACACGGAGGAGAAGACCACCGCACCGATGGTTGGAGACTGCCTCCATGCCATCCACTGGCTCAGGACAGCGGCGGACCATCCTCATCTACTCCGAGCCCCATCCTCGGGCACTGATGAGGAACCTCGGGATGTTCACCAGCCGGTGCAGGGGCAGTCCCCAGGTGCCGAGGGCCCTGAGAGGGCCCCCCACAGCACCAGCCTGCCCCCAGGTGCCGAGGGCCCTGATAGGGGCAGCGGATGATGGAGACCTCCGGCGGCCTGGACGTCTCAACACCCTCAGAGAAGGGGCCACTCCCAGGTGCCGAGGGCCCTGATAGGAGGGCCCCATTCCCCCCAACCCCCCCAGGCACGGGGGGAGCAGGGGGGAACCCCTGACGTGGCAGCCGCCGACACAGGGGGAAACCTTCTTCATCATCCTCAAGGCGGCTGTCACCAAGGCCCACAGGCGCATAAAAGTGCTCCAGAAAGACTGGAAATACCAGGTGGCCTGCATCCAGAACCGGTGGTGGGTCAATAGAGTGGGCACGTACGGCATGGCCTCGGCACAACTGTACTGGGGAAGAAAGGCATCCTTGGTGCTCAGACTCTTGTACTACATCTTCCCTCAGGTGGACTGGCACTTAGTTTTTGTGGACGACTACTGCTGGGTCCTCAGATGCAGCAGGGCGGACTGGGACGCCACAGCCATCCTGGCCACTCTTCTGGCGCTGGGAGTCCCGCTTTCTTGGAAGAAGACGGCGCTCTCCCCGGTCAATACCTGGTTGGGATTCGTGGTGGACCCAATCACGCCCTGTGTGCTGCTGGCTCCAGTCAAGCACGTCATAATCCTGGCCACTCTCAAACGGCTGGCCCAGGGGGACATCTTTACCAGCAAGGAGGTGGAACAAGCCCTGGGCCGGATTCAATGGGCTACTTCGGCGTGTCCATTGACGAAACCTTTCCTCCAGCCCTTTTGGAGCTGGAAGAAGGCCTGCACCACTTCGGGCAGGCCACCGAAGCTGGTTCGTGCTCTGGCCATCCTTCTGGGGAAGCTCTTCAACCAGAGGTTCCCACTGGCATCTCCATTTGCTCCCACACTTCCATGGACGGGGGCATCTGATGCGGGAGCTGGCAAACAGGCGGACCATGCATGGGTTGGTGGTTGGTGCTCGGACGTGCCCAACCCCGACAAGTCCCGAGTGAAGTGGTTCCAACACAGAATCACACCGGAGGGCGAGCCGTGGGCCTTCACTACTGGGGACCCGCAGCGGGCGATAGCGGCCTTGGAGCTCTTCGGCCTCCTCCTTTTGGTGAGGGCTGTTCTGCTTTGTGCAGCCGGCTCGGCTTCTCACACTAGGATTCTGGTTGCTAGTGATAACCAGGGAAACGTTTTCTCCCTGCTTAACGATTCCACTCGCAGGATGCCCAATGCGGCCATCCTCATGGAAATTGTGTTAACACTGCATGACCACCAGGTCATGTTAGGACCGTCGCATGTGAAGCGCGACTTTAACACATGGGCGGATGAACTTACTCATCCGGACCCGCAATTTCCGACTGAGAACCGGGTCTTCCCCTCAGTCGAAAGCGAATTGATCAAGCTGATCTTCGCTACTTTCCTTCCTCACCCATGATGCCGGGAGGGCATCCGGTGAGGTGGGAGGATTCCTCCCTCGCTGTGGGAGTGGCATCAATTCTACTCCCATCAGCTGCTGAGGGGAGCTGCCCAGTGGAGCTGGGCAATCCTCCCATTTTGGCACTAATCCTTATGCGGCGTAAAGGATGCACCGTTTCGCGATTAAGGTACCAGTAGCACCAATGTGGTGCTTTGAAGAGTCTGTCCTAAATCAGAGTGTGGACTCCTTTCCAGATATGTTTAATCAAAATTTAGCCATACTTTAACAAACGACATACATCGTAAGGAAAACAAGTCTTGTTGCCTCATTGGCCTGCCCCTTAAAAGGAGTGACACACCAAAAATAGAAACTCAAGGAACATGCACTTTCTGTCCTATTGGTTTGCGAGGTTCACATGTTAAGGCTTAAAGCATAGACATTCAAATGTGTGTTCAATTGGAATTTCTATTTAAAATTGGAATTCAATTATGAACCGCTGCAAACATATCGAAGGGATTTCCTATAGTAAGGAAGTCGTGTTGTTTCTTCTAATTGGCCGCCTTAAAAAAGAGGTGAACCACAAGAAACTCAAGGTGCGTTCCGCCATTTCAGTATTGGTTTGCGATGTCACAGATCTGGAGGGTCTGCCATCCTTTTCTGGAGCCTTTCAACGGCCCGTCCGCTTCAAATGGGGCGCCTAGCCCGAGAGGGGCCAGGTTTTGATTTCCCAAACAAGAACTGGCTGTTTTGAGGCTTTACGAAATTGAGGGGGTCGCCCTATTTGACGACCCAAGAACTGCAGGCAACCGGACATCAGGGCGAAAGGAAGAGTGCCACGGTTTGGTTTGGGCCCTGGCTTTTGATTTGTTGCCTTGGGTCTTTAAGGGGACCCTCCACAGGGCGGTTTGCGATTATTTTTCTAGAACGAATTCCACTCGAGGAAGCAAGTCAAGCCGTCCCCCCCCGCCCACCGTCATTTGGCAGGAGCACCCCGGAGCTTCATCAGCTGGTGGTGCTGGCTTACACGCGTCAGTTGGAGGACAGATCCTCTGCGCAGGTTGGTTGAATGCTTTTTTTGCCGTCTCCAAATGTTATTCTTTAATGAACATAGGGTTTGCCGTCTCAAAATCAATTGAACTCAAAAGAAACAGCACATTATTTGCTTTTCGTCTAGGGCAGACTTAATCTGAAACAGAATCCGACCATTTCTTGTTTGGGGTACCCTGAGGGTTGGGCCAAGTTTTGATTCCGCCCTGCTAAGAATCACTTGAATCACTCTAAACGGATCCTGACAAGGGGAAGTGCCGTTATAGCTGGGCTACAGCCCCCTTTCAGAAAGAACCCCCAACCTGTCGGAGGCGGGGAACCAAGAGTTCTGCGCATATGTACATATACATGATATACATTGTTCCGCATATATATATATATATACACAGTTGCTTGAAAAGCCAAAAAACAACACTGGGAAAACCAAAAAACACCTCGAGAAAGTCAAAAACAAAAGTCTCAAACCAAAGATTCTCTGCAGAGTTTTGTTTTTTGGGTGTTTGGTTTTCTCGAGTTTTTTTTGGTTTGCTGGCAGTCCCTCAGCTAAAAGGCCAAATGCACTCAACCATCCACAAAAGTAAGCAAGGGCATCAGAAAAACAAATAAAAAGCAAACCTGGTTCTAAGCATCACTCGAAGTCTTCAAGGAGAACAAAGCATATGCTTCTGCTCAAAACATCAATCAAGCAATCCAACCTTTTGGGTGACCAGATTCTGGTTTCCAAAAAACGCTACAGCACACTGGTATTTACAGTGTTTTTAGGCCTGAGGTAGATCTTGCCGGGGGGGGGGGGGGGATGACCATATGTATATATATATATATATGTATGCACCTGCAATTTTTGCAGCAAGCTGCGTTTGCCCGGGCCACGCGCGTTCGCGCGGGGTCCGTTCGCCCAGCGTGCAGGAGCTTGAGTCCGTCCCCCTTACGGTCCCTCGGATTTCGATTCGGACCGCTAGAACAGCGGGGCAATCTTGGCGACTAAAAAAGCAGACCAAAAGGCCTCGTTTCAGGTTTGTAGTTGCTTTAAGAATTCATGCAAGGAGGTTTCTCATAGAACAGTAGTTTCACTCGGTTCTTTTGGAGAATCCCCAGCGAGACGCATGTCGTTGTTACTCCTTCCCAGCTCTCGACATGCCTTGATTCTTGCGGCGTACATTCCAAGTAAGGCATTTTGATTTTGCAAGCCCTCGAAACTCGGAGGTGCCTGATGTACCAAACCACATCCTGGCCAAACAACTATAATTCTCCAACCGGACAAATGGGGACTCCCCTAGCAAAGGATTATCATCATGGTTGAGCTTTTACCCCAGAGGTGAGCGCGCTATAATTTGCTCGGCATCCTCGGTGCCATCGTCATAGGGTATACGCCTCTCATCCTTGAAGGCAACCATTGCTTTTTATGCCCCTTGCAAAGGCAAATAAGCTGTAAAACAGGGCCTGCTCAACACCCGACTTGGTACAATTCTGGAAGGACACTGGCGCAAATAGAAGGTTGGCTTCCGAGTTCCATGGTCAAACGTTCAACTTGAGGTGCTCATCTTGTTCTGGTTCGGTTTCCATTGGCACACCAAGCTACACAAATGCCAGGAATCCCAAAACCAGCGATCAGAACTCGATTTACCGGCCAGCGATTGACATGGACTCTCACTGCGAGTCCCTCCGTAGTTTCTACACTGGGTCTTCTGGTTACATGTTAGTGGGGAGGGTTCCGACAGCCAAGATCTGCACGCACTTACTCAGAGCCATCTCTTTTGCCCCCAACCGTCGAACATGAGGCGACGGTGGAGGCGCAGCGCGGCCAGCTGCAGACGGAGCTGATGCAGGCTGAGCTGATGTGTTGCCGACTGGAGCCCAGACTGTATATATATATATACACACTTAGATATATGCACATACATTTGTACATGTGGTACAGCCCCCGTGAATTTGGTTTTGTCTTAGTTGGGTGGCGTGTTCATGAAAGGAAGTTTAGAAGGAACTTCCTGGAACAAAAACTATTGAAAGCTAGCATTCTGAGAGAAGACACGAGAATGAGCACGGACGAGACAAACAGGCTGCGCGGCTGCGCATGTGGCGGGACAATGTTCATACTCGGGCGCGAGCGAGGTGAACAAACGACTGCGAGCTTTTCGAGGTCGACCAAGCAAAGTGACAATCGTTAAGCAAACTTTGAGGGTCGAGCCACCCTTAGTGCGCAGAGGCGCGGGGGCGGGCGGGGTAGGAGGGCGGAGTGCATGTATACATACACAATTTTGAATGTGTATACGAATATGGATATATATATATATATATACACATGTGTATACATATATATATATATATATATATATGTGGAGCTGGCTCGTTTCCTTTCGGGCCGGTCTTGGGATCCCTGTTGAAAATTCCCGAAATGTGGACCAGAATGAATCATATGATTTGTGGTCGGGTCAAACAAAACCGGTTTAGATCTGGTTGAACATTGAAGGGCCAGAGGGTTCTCCCCGGAGAATGCCGGGATTTTCCCATCTGGGACAAATGCTTGGAGCCATCTCACCTTGCCACTTGGCCCGGGGTTGTGGAGATTCGGGAAGCTCGGGGATCCAGGCCACAGGCCATGACGCATGCGAGTCGTGGAAACCGCTTGAAGCGAAGCCAAAAGACGCTTTCTGCATTCAAATCAGCCCACCTTTGCCTGGCATAGCTCAACTTGGCTGGGATCGATCTTTTCTGACCTTTGATTGGGACAGGCAGGGAGCTGGCCCGCTTCCGAGAGATGGCGGGCGTTTCGTTCCCCTTGAGGCCAGTTGAAAGTTCCCAATTTGGCTTTGAATGTGAATGGGAACCCGCCTCAACAAGTGGTTGGGCATGAATCCCCACTGAAGAACCTCATGTTTGAACTCACACCCATTGACACCGGATGTTCTTTTCGCGGAGGGCCTTGAACCCATCGGACTGGCAGGCAAAGCAGCAGGCGAGGTTCAGCGGCATGTTCATGCCGCGGGCTCAGACTGGGCTTTGGGGAGGGTCCACATGGGCTGGGTGAATGGGGACAAATCACGGAAGCCAGCCTCTTGGGGCCCTCTTGAGGGGAAGGCGCTCAGCTAAGTTGTTTATCGGAAGAGCGGGCTTTTGGGCACGGGCCCCAAAACCACTGGTCCGTAGCAGACCTTCACACAAGCGGGCTCCCTGAAAGAGTGTGGCTTATAATACCAGTCGGAGCCGGGGGGCGGAAGTTTCAAACACACATACTATAGTTTGGAGCGTTTCTTTTTCTCTCCTTTCTTAGTCTTTTTCTCGTTCTTTTTCGCTTTCTCTTTCTGCTTCTACTTCGTCTGCTTGATAGTGAAATCCCCCAGCACCTTCTGGAGAATGTACACCACGTTTTTTTTACTTGTGGTGGCCATCAACTTGTTCTCTTTCTTTCGTGCTCTAGTTCTCTCATTTCTCATTTCTCATTTCTCATTTCTTTTTCTTTCTTTCTTTCTTTCTTTCTTGCTTTCCCCTCTCTCTCTCTCTCTCTTTCTCTTTCTCTTTCTCTTTCTCTTTCTCTGTCTCTTTCTCTTTCTCTCTCTCCGACCCACGAAAGTGACAAACCGCCAAATCCGCGAGTTTTTTGAGGTCGACCACCGAAAGTCCGCAGCGCAAGCTGAAAAGCGCAAACGGCACGAGTTTTGAGGCTCGACCCACCTAAAGTGCGCAGAGGGTCCACCGATTGGCTGCGAAGGGGCCGTGCCAATTGTTCTAGTTAAACTTCCTTCGACAAGTGTCCTGCGAACATCTTACCGGGCGACCAGCATTGGAAGATCTGGGCCTGAAATTGTCAAGAACCTCTCGCAGCGTCTCAGATTTGGGACTGATATAGCGACGAACACTTGGTCCCAATTCAAGGCTTGATATAGCGACAGTCAACTCGCTGTATTGATACAGTGCAGCTAAGAACATCCTACAATATCGCAGATTTGGGATTGATGTAGCGAAGAGAGCATGTGACAGTAGTTTGTGGCCCGACGAAGTTGTTGCAAGCAACTCTGTACATGTATTGTAGCGTTCGCGCTTTGGGGTCGCGGGAGCCTTTCGCCGTGAAATTTAACAAGGCACCACCTCAAAGTGGTTGGCGGGCATGAATCGCCACCGAATTTGGATGTCCACTAAGGGGTCCCCGATTAAAACAACATGCCCATATTTTGTTTTGCCGTATTTTGTTGGCCGTAGTTACTCAGACTTTTTCCCCTCAGAGTCATTTTTTTCCAGCTCGCTTCATAGATATTGCGGCTTCGCTGCTTTTTGGTTCGGCCTTCGACATTTTTTGATCGTTTGGTAAATGACAGTTCTCTACCGCTAGGGTTTCTACTTGACCAAGCTAGATGGACACCTATAAGGGCTCCCTCTATTAGAACCCATGACAGCGTGACCCGGACCCAGTGGGCGAAAGATGAACCTTGTCATGAAGAAATTGAAAGCGGCATGAGGTCAGGTTTGGTGAAAGTAGTTGACAGTCTGCGGTTTGAGAGGGTCATGGGGACTAGCTCTAAAAAGCCCACCTAACACCAAAACACAGGCGACGAGCGGCAATTCCGCATGTCCTGTACGGGAATCGCAATACTAGATGTTGACCCTGACCCAACATTTAAATGTTCCTCTCGGCAAGTTTACCAGTTCATTTGGGTTGTTGATCCGTTCCTCAGGATTTTTTCTTGGAATTGGATTGGGTCTTTCTCTTGATTCGGCTGATCGCCACCATGTATTCCCTTCTCACCATTCATAGTGCACGGGAGGCCCTGTCAGGGTGATTACAGTCTTCCAACCCCTCGGCTGGACTTGCCCATTGAACCTAGATTCGGGACCAGTCAATGCGTCCGTTGCACTCCATCGGCCAGCGATAGGAAGACCAGCCAGTGAGGCGGAGCTGAGGCCAGTGGCTTCCATGAAGCCGGGAAAGGCGATTGGTATCCCGCGGTGATTCGAGTTTCCCACGGTTTTTGCCACTCGATCTTTCCGCAGCGAAAGGCTTGATGTTCGTGGGGCCAATTCCCTGGGGTTTAGTGCTCAGGCTTCCAGCAGCAGTCGGATGCTTTCATCTTTTTGCAGATTCACCTGACCCAGTCGCCACACTGCAAGTTCGAGCAAACAGATAGTGAAATGTCTATGACAAGGAGCACAGTCGAGACCTTCCAAAAGCTGACCGCAAACCTGTTTGCGACCTCGTTTGCTTTATGGCCCCAAAATAGGTTGGGGTCGAAAAGCTAGGCTCTAGGTTTCCTCGAGTTTTCGCGCTGTCATGAACCTCTGCCAAGCACGCTAGGGAAGCCACTTGAAGCCGAATTCGTCGCAGAGCCATCGCAGAGGTCCCTATATGATGCTTGCTGTGCGTTTTTTTTGAACATCGCACCTGGGGCGAAGAGAAGTGATTTTTTTGGTGCGATGTTGGAAGGGGACATATAGGGAACCCTGCACCGGTCGCTGTGCCTGGGGTATTTGGGAGCGTCCATCCTGCTGACGGAGTCGAGGTGCCTGATATGCGCAATTCCCCAGTTTCTTGACTTGGTGCTGACTTTTTTGGCCTATCCACTCCGGAAGTGAGAATAAAACATCATCAACCCTTTGTCTTCGTTTTGTTTCTCTTTGGCCAGCGTGAAGGATTCTTATTATATATTTGCATCCCATGGCATCCGCGGCGCGCCACAGCGAACTTAGAGACGCGGGGAGGAAAACAAGCCACGGCCGGCCGGTCGCTTTGCGAGAAGGGAACTCAGCTTGCACTGTTCCGGTGACTCAAGTGACAGAAGTTTGTACTTCCCCCTCTTGAGCATGGAGCCTCTATGAGTTGCCATCCGCATGCTCGTGCCGAAATCGTTGTTTCATAAGACGGACTTCAGCCAAAAAACTGAGAGGGAACCCGAGACAAACGCGGAGGTCGAGAGGCAAGCAGAGCTGTTCAAGGAGAAGTGGGCATCATCTTTTGAGTGGGGCTGTTTGGTGGACATCATTTATCTGGGGATTGCATCCAGAACCATTTGGGAGGGCAGTCTGCATTGAAATGTTTGGCCAAGTGCCCGAGGGCAAGAACGAAGAGGGGGGACGGGCCGGAAGCCCCCGGTTGGGGCAAATTCGGCCAGGATCTCAGCGTATTGAATTCGGTGCGTGCGAGACTGGCAACTTGGCTCAGGCTGCGCAGGATATCTTAGCGGGCACAACAACTGTTTTGCTTTGAGGCGGGATGCCAGAGCAGGAAGGCAAATAAGTCAAGCTTGTGTGTTTTCATGGTGCGCGGCCGAATTGCCGTGGTCCTGTGCTTGCTTTTTGCCTGGGGTGCTGGCTTTGCCCGCCCCCGCGACCCCCGCGGCTCCCGCATGGAGCCGCCAGCAAAGCGCGTCAAGGGCGCGGCGGCGGCGTCGGCGGCTCTGTTTGCCGAGGCCAGGGACTCCGGAAGGAAAAACTACTCTTTAGCCAAGAGGAACACTTTGTAGATTCCCACGTGGATGCCACCCTAGTTAGGCTCTGACGTTGACCAAGCATTCATCAATCTGGTGGGATTTTATTCGGGGTTGCATGCTATCTGGAATGGGACCACCCCCAATGAAGCAAACAACTGATGGTTGACACGATTCCCACCAAGACTGGGCCAATTGATCAGTTTTCAAAGTCAGCAACTGGGGTCGTTTCCTTGTAATTTGCGACTTTGAGAAACGCAAATACAAGCGCTCAGAAAGAAGGGACCTCACACCGCATGTGAAGCGCCTTTTAAGCAGCCTCCCAATCCGCAGCTGTGTATAAGAGGGGCGGGGGTTTGGGGACCACCCGCTCAAAGGCACTGCAAGCATCAGCTTCAGGAGTTCCATCAGTCCTTAGTTTGACAACTATCATGTCCATTTACATGTGTTGTTTGCCGTGTTTAGTTCCCGCAATGAAGAATGCAATCAGCCCCCTCAAAAGGAGTCCTGATTGCTTGGGAAAAGGTCCTGGCATCTGGATCTTCATAACCTTCGAGTCTGATTCCTTTTGACTCGTTGAAGTCTTTTTTGCCCATCCGTCAAGAAGGTCTGGCCTTTCTGTGATACTTGGATGTCCTGGGACTGATCAATGGTTCCCCGTTTCGTTTCGAAAAATGGTTGCGTTTCGAAGGCCCAGTGCCACTAGTTGCTGGAAAGACCCTGCTTTATCTCTTGAAAGGGCGCACATTTTCCAGGATCCCGCGAGGAAAAAAAAAAAGGGCTCGTTGTTTTCTTGGATCAGCCGTTGGAAAGGGGGAAATCCCCAAATCGCCTTGGGGTCTTTGCGCCAGGTGGCCACAGCTTTAGAGGCCTACTTCGATGGTCTGCACAGCGGCAAGGTGGAGCGCCTCCGGGAGGCGCGCTCACGGCTTTCGGCTTTCGGCTTTCGGCTTTCAACTTGTGGAGGTGCACGGACCTCTGTTGGCAGGCAGTCGTCGTTTTCTTCTCTTGGAAGGGGCCTGTGCATTCGCAGGACTTGAGGTTTCTGACGGGCTTTTGGGCTCGACTCCGATAGGGCCCATCCGGCATGTCTCTCGAAGCCCGCAGCAAAGCCACGCGCCTCGCTGTGGACCTTGAAGTTTGAAGCGTCGGGCAAACGACTTCCGATTTGGGGACAGCGGGTCGAGAACAAATGGGCAGTCCTGGACGCCATAGCTTCCTGGGACCAAGTTGGCATTTGGAGAGCAAGACTGGCGGATTCGCAAATCCGAAGATCTCCCTGGGGACACAGAGGTAAAAAGCAAAGCATCGGCCATTCCACCGACCATTCCGCTGCCTTTCGAAGTTTTGAGTGCAAGTCATCCGCTTCTTTCCATGTTCAGTTGATCATATCTCAAGTGGCTCCCACCCTCCAAGCCAAACCTTCGGCTGCGCACAGAGTTGTGGGGCTTGCAGACACCTGGGCTTTTATGCACCGAATTCCACCAACCGAATCCTTAGGGCCATGGATTCTTGTTTGCCTCGGGTTGTTTTCCCGGGTCGCTTCCCCTGGCATAGTAAGTTCCTCCAACTTCGGAACTTCGGTTCAAACTTTGTAATGTGAACTCCGAGTTTCAAGCTTTATACCCCGGTATTGTTAGACCCCCTTTCTCCGAAATGATGAAGCCACGCGGGGGGTTTTCTGGGAGGTTCTTCCATGGCGCAAATCTTCAGCCTCAAACCTCACCGCACACATTCAACGGAGGTGTGGCACGAGGAAGGCCACTTGTACGGCCTGGCGCCCGACGGGTCTTTGGTGGACCGGTCCGCCGCGGAGTTCTTCAAAGCCGTCGCGGCTCGAGAGCCTTCGCAGCACCTGGCCGAGCATGATGCCATCATAAGGCCAGATGGATGAGCTTGGGATCCAGAGACATGTTGGGGTCCCGCAGTTTGAGCAGGCATGTGAGTCCGGGGCAAGGCTTGTGTACAAAAGGAGCGCACAAGGAGGTTGTTCAAACGATCGGTTGCACATGTTCAAAAACGTGGCCACCCTTGAGGCGTGCCGCATGATCATGGCTCATGTGCGAAACCTGCGTATGCACAGCATGCCGACGACATGAACAAGCGTCATTGTTGCGATTTCACGTCAGGCCGCGGGTTGTCCACTGTGTTCAACAGGTTTGTTGGTCATTTGTTTTCGGCCTGGACTAACCGTGCCGAAAAACCATCCTGAAGCCAAACTGACAATCTCAACCCTTTCTGTCACCCTTATGGGTTCAGAATGATGCGCCACCCATAGCCACTGGCAAGCCTGAACAAGGATGTCTCTGGCCTAAATAGAGAACGCTTCCGTGGGCCTTACATGGGGATTGCTTGATGTAGGTCGGTGAATTCTAGTAAACCTGCAGGGCATGTTTAAACCAGCAGTTGGCCTGTGAAACTGCGTTGTCCCCGACCCCCCCTCTCAACGCAGGAACCTCCTAGGAACCACCTAGGAACCACCTAGGAACCACCTAGGAACCACCTAGGAACCACCTAGGAACCACCTAGCTAGGAACCACCTACTGTTGACGGAAGAAATCCTGCGCCACCGAAATGAGCATTCTCGTCACACCTCGCTCTCCCAGCTTAACATTGGTTCTTGGAAAGGTACTGTTCAACATTGAATTAGGGGCGAGGGATTTGCGCCCTATGAGCTTTATGTGGTTCACACCCTGAGGCGGTGCAGGATTTCTGCCGTCAACCGTAGAAACCACCTGGCCATGGGTCAAAAGCCCGTACTTTGAGTGAACATCCCAATGCCCACTAAAATAGACTAAAATGGGTGGTGCACCCACCCCAAAATGGTACCATTGGTTTTGACCCACAGCCACCCAGGAGCCACCCAGGAGCCCCGCAGCAGCCCCGTGCCCCGCGTGTCGCAGGTTGGACTTCGCCTCGCCCAGATGCTGTGCCGCGAAGGTGCAGATCGCCCTGTCCGCGGCCAAGAACTCGCCCACGCCCAGCTTCACCGCCGCCCGGCCCGCAAGCGAACCCTGACTTCTTGTTTTTGTTGTTGAGCCGAACGAACGGCTCCCCCGGAAAGAAACTTTTTTCGCTGCAAGATAGGGTCGTGGTTTGTTGAGCCCGGAAAGGATCAAAAGGAAGGAAATCGGGTTCTAGGGGTAATCCGTTTCCTCTGACAGTAGTGACAGTGACGACGATGACGGCAGTGTTGGGGCGCTTGAAAAAAGAGACCTCAGAGGGGGCTTGGCGCCTTTTTTTGTTGGGTTACAACCGCGGCAACGCTCGGGAGGGTATATGCTTACATATCTTACAGCTTGCCTTTTCCTGGATGAATGTGTTCTGTTCTCCAAACCCAAACTGAACACTCAGTATACGGATGTGCGTCCCGAAATACAGCACATACAACATTGGACCCAAAGACGGCTTGTTTCCCACATTTCAAAACACATCATGGTCGCGGAACAGGCTTGTGCGCATCCTCTAGGCTTCGAAACGTGTGGGTTGCTTCGGCGCTGGAGACGTTGGATTCTTCCAGAAGCTTCCCTGAAAGTGAAAACCATCCAAGTCGACCACCATATCATCTTCCCTTAAGAAGACAAGCAACAAGCGTTGCGGAAGGTCCTTTTTTTCCATGCTTTCAACCCCCAGCAGAGGATTCCTTCATGGCCTCGGTTTTTGTTTTCGGAGGCGTCGACCAGTTCAGGGCTAGCAGGAACGCAGGATAAAATGAGATTCCTTCCCTTTTGAGGAACTCTACCCAACAACCCCCCTGGTTCATTAATCCATGGTTGAATTCGCCTGGGTTCCAGCAAACAGCGACACCTGTGTTTGGCATCCTCGAACCCAGTTGTTGGAACATCTTGGAATCCAATGATCAGTCCTTTCGTGAGTAGATTTTGAACGTTGAGATGGGCGAAGCTAAGCACGCCCCTACTTACACAGCCACACCACTTCTTGGTGAGGCTCAAGTCGGATCCAGGGGTTCCTCCCATGGAAGTTTACAAGCGTTGGTGGGCAAATTCGCGTCAAACGGTGCTGTCCCTTGACATTTCACTGTATTTTGCAGAGAGAGAGAGCACTCTTGAGCTAGGCTTTGACCGGACCGATCTCCAGGTTGCAGGGACGTCCCTGAAGAGCGGAGCCCTGCACAAGCCCTTAGTCTCTGAAATTCATACTGCCACAAGCACGGATCATAGTTTCGTGAGTGGAAGGCGTTTTATGGAGCAGTCCCTCTTTGAGCTTAACCTTGTGCGACAATGTTTTGGCTTGAGGATTTGTGGGTGTGGCAGAAAAGCGCAGTGTCATGGCAGTTGTTGTTCTGCCTTTCTGGGCAGAGTGCATGCGTGTCGAACAGATTGTGCTTGTGGTGCTTTCTCTGCCCATGGCACTCATTTGCAAGGATGTGCTCTACACGGACTTCCTGGTCTTGCTTCGCCTGGGGGGCAGGTGGCAGATCATCAGTGGCTTGAAGCCATTTGGGGTGGGACAAAATCCGCTTTACATCAGTTGGTGGGCTTTCTTCCGCGTTGATAGGACTTCATGCGTGATTTTGACTACAGTATGACGTGGCGCAGACCATTTTGCTGTTTGGCCTGGGCAGAGTCAGGAATTTTGATGAGCTCACCGATTCGGCACTAAAACGATCTGAGCCATGACAAAGGTTCCGTGCTTGGGGATTCCTTACTCCAAACACATGTGGCATTCTAGCTTTGACTAAAGTCAAAGCGGCCAGCACAATGTACATTGACAAACATATACACATAGATACACACAGCTTCACACAGGGTCTAACTCAATCATGTGGCCTGTCATCACATCCTTCTTTCTTGGCGCTGTAAGCTTGGTCAAGTTGCGGAGCAGCTTTGGCCCTTCGCTTTCCAAACATGCTAACCAGGGGCCCGGTCAGGGAATCGTCCGCTTCACCCACTTATAAGCTAGCTCCGGGCAACTCGAGGCAGCTTCCCTGGGTGAACGGCCCCCATTTTTTTTTGTCTGGGTCAAGGGGGTGACTAAACCATGATGGAATTGTGCCATGATGGAATTGTGCCATCCAGGGGTCCCAAAAGATCTGCTGGCTGATTCGCGTGAAAGCCGAGGCAAGGTCTTTGCCTCGGTGCCTTTGTCGGAGCCTTCCTACGAGGAGCCCTATGATGCCCTGGCCTACTCTGTGGCTGAGCCGGTGCGCGGCGTTCAGGCACCATGACTTGATCGCCAGGCCTTCGTATTTGGGGACCCAAGCTTTCCAAAGAGCCGAGCGGGTTTTCTGTGGGTGAAAAGGGGTTGTGGACTCCACCATCACTGGGACTGTGGCGTCCTCTTTGTGCTGCCTTGAAACTTGGTCGCCGTCTTCTTTTCTTTAAAATGGGTGGTTGCCTTGCGGCTAAAAACGAACACCCATAGGGCTATAGGGCCCTTCAGTGGGTAAGGGTAAATCCAAGGGGACTTATTGACCAGGGTGAACCAGGAAGATGAAATGGCCCAAAGCCTTGGTTGCTTTGGATTGGATTGGAAAACACGAGGTCCCTCAGTGGGAACGTCTCCAAAATCCAATCCAAATGGACCAAAGATGGAATGGCCATACCTGGCGCCTCCAAACCTAAGACTCCGCTAGTACAATTTGCTGTGTGCCCCAGACGTAGCCCTGTGAACCATCCCTTGTGGTTTGATTCAAATGGATCCACCCCCCTACGATCCCCTGAGAGCCAGCAAGAAACCTGGGGAGGAGCAAGGGGCCAGGGGTTGGCTACCAGCCAACAAAAAGGGCACGCGAGGATTACTTCCGAGGGGGGCACCTCGGGTGCCCTGAGATCCTCGGGCAGAACTTCCACGCGAATGCGCGGCTCTGCTTCTCCAACGAGGAGGCTGGTGGGGTCGATCTGGGCGGGGCAAGCGGAAGGCCGAGATATGTCTTGATGTTTAAGGGGCAACCGAAACGAAGCCAACCATTTTTTAGGGCATCAGTTGATGCTTGTCGCATTTCTTGATGGAAGGTCTCAGGTTAAGTGAACCGACGAGCACGTGCCTCGGTGTCCGCATCAGGAGAAGCTGGTGCGCTGGTCCCAGGCCGAGTTCTTTGAGGTGCTTAAAAGCCGCGCGCCCACGGCGACCGACACCAGGGCCTTGAGGTTCGACAAGATCCTGGGAGTTGACGCTGGGCTCGCGAGATCCGGGGGGGTGGCTCCCGGCGACCCCCCCAAAAATGGCTTGCTTTCTGTCTGGCTTCCCTCTAGAACCAAAAAATGGCTGGGTTCCCCAGAATGGTTGTTGTGATTTTGGCTTCCCTGTCCGACCGACAGGTGCCGAGTTCCCCCCGAAGACGCACCCACTTTGCTGAAAGGGTGGTTCTAAACATCGCCTGGGTCAGATGCAAGTGAGTTACCTGGAAAAAGGTTTAGGCTGCGGTGTTTGATGCTCGGAGCCCTTTTCAGCTTGGCTTTAAGAGCCAGAGGAACGACACCAATTGCGGCGTTCCTGTTTTTGAACTGCCACCCATCTTGGGCCAGGCTTAGAGCCCCTGCAAGAGAACTTGTGGCTGGGTAGAAAAGGGAAGATTGAGAGAAGGCCAAAAAGGTGAAAGCGCCAAAAGGCAAGTTGAGGCTGGCCTGGAATTTGATTTGAGGTTCAAATTGAAAACTCCTAATTAAGTTTAGGTTTGGCCTAGATAAGTTTGTTTGAAGTTCACTTTGCAAACCCTCGATTCAGATTAAGTAGGACGGAGGGCTTCCATTTTGGAGGAGATCCTGCTTTGGGAGGAAATACCGAAATACCCCTTCAATCTACCGGGTTTGTGAATCTGTCAGGTGGGATGTACGCAGCCCGGGCTTTTGTGGCCCGCTAGAAACTGCTAGTTTCCCTTGATTCACAAAAGGACCCTCCAATTGTTGGAAGCGCCCACTTGTGCCATGACAAATTCAGGGGTACTTGAATTGGGCATGTCGCAACGAGGACAAGGCTGGTCCCGACGTTGCCTTGATCAAGCTTCAGATCGGCTACCCGCCCCAACTTTACACCGACTTCCTCTCCATGCTGCGAATCAGCGGCCGATGGTGGATTATCGCGAAGAGCAGCGACAGCAAGCCATTTAAGCTCTGAATCTCCAAGCAATGGCCTTAGGATGTACAAACATGACACCTTTAAATAACACCTTTTCTCTAAGACGTAGACTACAGCCATTTTTCGAAGAAGCTGCAAAGGCTGTTCCAGGAAAGTAGTGTTGGCCTGCGGAACAGCGAACGGATGTCAAGACAAACTCGATTTCCTGCAATATTTGCGGAGCCTGGTAATTTGGGGCACGTGTCGGTGCTAGTGTTAGGGTCCCAAATCGAGAGCCGAGATTTCCTTGTGCTTCAGCGCAGCTTAAATAGTAAAGGTTTGGCATCGAGGGCCGGACTTCCATCAGATCTGGGCAAGTCATAGTTGACCTTTCCCGATGTGTTTGCATTCCTCATTTCAGGCATGGTTTTCATCCGGGTCAGATGCATTCAAGTCCTTTCTCTCGAGACGCAGAAAGGATGGCTGAGGAAACAGGCGAAAAGATGCTGCGTTCACAAAGAGTGTCCAAGGAAACCGGCCATGTCAGGCAGGGGTCTGGGGGTAAGGGCGTGTTTCTTGGTTGTAGCCGCTGAATTATATTTTGCAGTAGCGTGCCCTGTAGCATGACATGAGCCACGCCCGCATTGACTCAAGAAAGAGAGTGCTTCGCTGAATAGGGATTTGGCGGAGTTCGCGCGACAAGACATGCGGTGCTGAGGTCTTCAACATGTTCTGCTTGTGATACGCACTGATCCTGCATGTCGTCTTCGAGTGTGCGTGCGTACTGCTTTGGCAAGGTCTTAGGTAGTAGGCGTGCTGCTTGTCGCTTGTTGGATTTAGCCATCGCGTGCAGCTCAAGCTGCCAAGTGCCACTTTGTAGCCACTGTTGTACTTGTTGTGCCACAATTCTTTTGGCGCAAATTGGACGTTTTGGTGTGGGAATGCCGTGTGTTTGCAGGTTGGCAGGCACAACTCTTTTCGCTTTCGTCTCTTTAAAGCGCTGCTTTGCCTGCCAGCTACTGCCCCGAGCATGATTGGCTTGGGCTGAACGAATACCTGAGGATGTGAACCTCGGATGTTGCCGTTCGCTCCAAGTCACATCCGCCAAGTTCGCAGCTCGCGGCTTTTCTTCTTTTGCAAATGGGTGTGTGTGTGTAAACCAACTAACCGAAGGGCACTTCTTCTTAGGCCCTGGAAATGCCCTTTTCAAGTGCCCCTTGATTCTTTGCGGCGGCTGCAACAACTCGCTGGATGTTGAGAAAACCGCC